TATTGTTTGCCATCTTTTGAATTGGTTTGAAATTTTGATTCAATGTTTTTTTTTAAACCATTTCTTTTGCTGCAGAAGATTATAAGACTTTTCAAAAAGGCCAAACACCTATACTAGAGTAGTATCGATATTGGGTACTCTATTTATTATGCTGTATAAATAATTCAATAAAAATAAACAAGCTAACCCTCAAAGATTTTTTTTTATAGTGTTTGATAATTTCTTATTAGTTTCATCCTCATTTGATTCATCGTTTTCTGCAATATTATTATTTCAAGAACCGTTGAGTTAATTGTTACAGAAAGTTGTGCTTTATCAAAGTGATATGCGAATTTCTCATATATGTTTTTTTTTCAGCTTTTTGAATTTCGTTGAAAATTATTAATACATGTATGTTCTTAAAAATGTGATAAACATAAGAATATCTATCCATCACCTTTATCGCAGAGCAGGCATTCATATTCTGCTCTTGAAGTTAAGTACTTAATACATGTTTTTTTTTATTATTTCAAACTTGTTTTATTATTCGGCAGGGTAACCCATAATTTTGTGAAATATTTGGTAAGAAAGAAATACTTGTTACTTAATTATAAACATACATCGTCATATTGATAATATAAAAGATCAATGTATATATTTTTTAATCAAATTTTTCGGTAAATGATTTTAGCTCCGTACGTAACTGATTTTGGTGGTCATGCTAGGTTCGTGACGTTAATACGGGTGACCGTGACAGGTCTGGATAGTAGAGTCCTCCATTCCGCTCTGGACAATTAGTGCATGGTGTTCTAAGTAAAAATACTTTCCTCCAAACCTTTCCCAAACTTTAAATCTAACTCTAAATACTAATCCCAACGTGAAAAATTAAAATCAAAAATCCTTATAAAACGAGAATTTCTAAAAACATAATATATAAAAACATAATACAGTCAACTCTCTCTAATCCGAACCTAAAACTCTAAGACATTTGTAAATTTTATTATAAAGTTCGGATTAGTATATAGTATCTCTTTGAGAACTGAACTTTTTGACCAATTTTACATATAAGAACGGATGGGTCGGATTAGAAAGAGTTGACTGTAGGTGCAAAGCTGCGTTTTATAGTAAATGAATATCATAAATAAATTGGAGCTATCACTAAAACTTATACTGAACTCTAAATTTCGCTCTGTATGTGATCATCTCGCACTTTGTACGAAGTCATATGATGTGAGTGCAAAAACTTGTGGGATAAATTTTCACTGTACCAGACTTCTAAAAATCACGATATTATGTATTTAATTTTTTAGTAATCGAATACGATTTAAGTTCGTTCAAAAAGATTTGATCGTAGCCCGTTTTAATACGTAATTCGTATAACAATTTTTAAGTCTGGTATAATGAAATCTTATATATGTACTTACAGGTTTTCCCTTGATAGTGCATATGTCAAATATATGCTCGCGCGAGGTACATCTCCAGGCGGTGTTACTAGGATCATCAATCAAATCAGATCGAGATGGATTTTTAACTATATAAGCCACATTTCTGTGTCTAATGGTTAGTTAACATACATCATGATACAGTGATAGGCATCATTGAAAAATGCATTTATTCACCAATCTAGTTCGGCCTTCCCTAGGATCTCGTTTTTTATTAAAGTTTCGTAGGCATCATCTTTCACCGGAGGTTTCATCCTTCACCAGAAATTTAGTCATTCATGAGGGGTTTCGTCTTTCATCAGATGCTTCGTCTTTTGCCAGGGGTTCTGTCTTTCGTCATTCACATAAATGGTTTCGCATAACGGCCATAGCAATAAATGGAATTCCAATAGCATCAGCAGAAGAGCCTAATATTTTTTTGGCAACAAATCAATTAATTCTCGAATTTGTACAAAATAGCACTGGGTTACCATGGTGGGCAACTATAATATTCACGACCATAATTCTTCGTTCAATATTTACTTTGCCAGTTGCAATATATCAACAGAAGAGCTACGCTCGATTATTAAAAGCTCAGCCTTTAATAAATTCATGTATAGAAAAATTGAAACATAAAGTTGCAAGAAAATCAAGAATGGAGAAACGTAGCTATGAAGAGTTTCAGGCTGCATTACAGAAAGAGGTATCTATTAAAAAACGTATTTTCTTTAAATTTCTCACAATTAATTAATTAATTTATTTTTTTGAAGGTTTTAGCAAAGGTTAAAGAGATATATCGAGAAATTGGATGGCATCCAATAAAAAGTTATTTGATGCCATGGTACCAAATTCCTTTATTCATTTGTATGTCTTTTACCTTACGTGAAATGATTAACTCCGCCGAAGACAAAAAAAAGATCGATACCAGCATTTGTGAAAATATCGAACCCATTGCAGATGATAATATAATAAATACAGAAAAACTGAATGATTTTACTAATGTTGGTGTATTGTGGTTCCCTGACTTGACTATTCCTGATTCAACTTGGTTTTTCCCTTTGGCCATTGGGTTTACGAACCTATTTAATATTGAAGTACATTTTATACTTATTTTATTTTATTTCTATATTTTATTATTTATATAATACAATATTTATTTAATAATAGTTTCAAACCTGGTTCTCTAAGGGAAAGCCTACCAAAAAACAAATAATTATCAAAAATATCGGGCGTATTTTATGTTTAATTATGATACCAGTTTGCACCCAGACTCCAACGGTTAGTTGTTCAAGTTTTGTGTTTTTGTATATTCATACATGTTACTTCTAACCAGCTGAATTATTCTGTCTAGGCAATATGTGCCTATTGGCTTACATCTGCTACTTTTAGTGCAGTACAAAATGTTGTATTTAGATTACCATATATTCAAAGACGACTTGGATTTCCTTTATAATTCTAGCGTTATTGTTAGTTCATCTATTTTTGCAGGTCATTTAATAAATTCCTTCTCATTGATTAAAAATTCTGGAATATTGCTATTATCAGCTTACATTAGGCAATATATCATTATTTGTAAAGTAGTTATATTTTTATTGTTGTTATAAATATATATATATATATATACATGATGATACAGTAAAATTTTAATGTATTTGTTTTTTACTATTACTATGATTTACCGATTTAATCTATATAGTTTGTATATATTAGCTATTTCAAAAGCTAATTCTTGGATTATGGTATAAAGATAATAAATTTGAACCTAAATGTAAATTTTAAATTATGTTTTTTTTTTTCTTTTAAATAAATAAACAAAGATTAGAATAGTGTTTAGACAAGTTATAAGTATCAAGTGTTTTATTGCTTACCAGAGCCTTGACAAACAAGCTATATTTTTTCATTGTTATTAATGATTCTAAAGATATTGATATTAATTAAATGATATAGAGTTCGAATCCCGCTCGAGACATTTCAGAAAAATATACATGTGTTATAGTAACCGACTAGGTTAGATAACTGGGTTGAAATATTCGCAGATGGTTAGATAATTAGATTAATATTACAGTAATAAATTAATCAATAAATTAACCAACAGGTTAAATTAACTAACAGCTAAATAATTATTATTAGATGGTTGGGTGAGGTATTCTCGAATACGATTAAAAAGGTAAATAAAAATAAAAGTAAATTTAGCTAATTTACTGGCTCTATTTCAAAGATTCTTTCATATCAAGTTCAGACCTTGGATCAATAATAAATGAGAATTTGTATTAAGGACTACAAGCAATTTATTTTCTAAATGATACGTTATCATGTCTACATACAGTTAGTTTCTTTATTAATTAAACTCTATAATACAAGCTGTATCAATATAAATGAGTGGCTGATGCTGAAATTTGAGCCTCGATTTGAAAGTATAAGCCCTGTTAAAATCCACATATACTCTTTAATTACATATCAATTTTAACTTCAAACCCTAACACCCACCTATACATGGGTGGCGAAAATATTTCGCTTTCGAAAATTATTTCGAAATCATAAATAATTCAGTATGTTAAAAAGTTTTTGGCAGTAATATTTTAGCATGATGAAAATATTTTAGTATGTCGAGATATTTTATTATGTCGAAAATATTTAGTATTTCGTCATGTTTATATTTAGTATGGCAAAAAATATTTAAAGTATTTATAAGATTAGGGCCTATTAAATAGCGAACTCTATTCTCATACATCTTTTATCAATAAGTTTAATAGTGGGGGGAACAAAAAAAAAATTTGTTTCATGACATGAAATAAAATTTTTAGATTTGGTAGCTCGGAGGTTTTTTTTAAAATTTAATTTTTTATATGAGAAGTAGAGAGTGGAATCGATGAGTTCGAGAATTGGTTGATCACAAACTCTAGAATTTCGAGCATCGGTAAAAAATTTTGACCAATGTTCGAATGTTTGATGAATCTTTAAAAAGTTTAGTGTAACATTTATCAATTGTATCATTTTTAATATATAATTTATACTGCTATCGCTATATTATTTAATATAAATTTCTATGACTTGCAATTTGTTGTTTTGCATTATAAAACAAACTTATACTAATCCTAGATCTCAGGAACGGTAAAACCAATTGATTTCATATTACATTTTAGAAATATCATTCTGCCAAATAACTTCGGCTTTAATAATGTTCTCTTCGCACTCATAAAATTTTCTGCATCCGAGAACATGCAGAAACTGCGGGTGCATTAACAGAAGATGTTTCTTTATTCAATTTTAAATGTTTTTACGGTAAATACGCCAATGTCAATTAGAAAATTTGAAGGATTTATTAAATCAATCTTTATGCAATTGTATTTATAATCAATCAAAAAAATATATAATCATATTATCGTTATCAAAAACACTGTTAAATTTCAATCAAAAAATGTACATCAAAACAATTAGTTAAATTTTAACTTTCACTGATGCT